TCTCTAGACCCACCTTGGGTCATCCCCTCCATGAGCCATTGGCCAGTGGGTGACATCACATCTCATGACCCTCAGCTTGAAAATGCAACAAAGCATCAAAGCTGTCATCCAAGCCACAGGCAGCAGGGTTTCCAAGGCTGAGGGGCAGGTGGCTAGGGAGTAGGACAGAAAGACAGGTCTCTTCCTTCTGCTGTGAGCCTACTATCTACTGGAAAAAAGCTTTCTAAGTCATCCAACTCAAGCATTTGTTGGCTGTTGGCCACATGCCATGAAGTGTCAGATGTGAAGGACATGAAGATGATAAGACCTGGCACCTGCTTACAAGCAGCTTGAGACATACAGAAGCAAAAGGGATCCATGAAGAAGCAATGGGAAGATGTAGAAAGGACCGAGCGAAAGTGCTATGAAGACACCACTGGGTCGGTCGGGCTACAGAGAGTTTCCCATGAAGGGGATCATTTGAGAGCAAATTTGAGGAGGTATACTTATCCTGGAATGTACAGGGAAAAAAAAACAAACTAAAAATCTCAAAAGCAATCTGAAAACAAACTGTAGTTAGGTTAAGGGGGATACCATTCATTTATTCATTCAGTTTTCTGAGCCACTACAGGTCAGGCACTGCATTGGCCAGTCTGGCAGAAAACAAAGCATTAAACGAATAATTACCAAAAGTCACGATGGGTATTTTGATAGGAAAAGAAGTCTGGTAATTATAAACTCATTTTCTCTTAGAATAGAACAAAAACTTCTAATGCAGACAGTAATAAAACAGAAACATCATTAAAAATGGCTTTAGCAGCCGGGTACAGTGGCTCATGTTTGTAATCCCAGCACTTTGGGAGGCGGAGACAAGAGGATTGCTTGAGTCCAGGAGTTTGAGACTAGTCTGGGCAACTTGGCGAGACCTAGTCTCTAAAAAAAAATAAAAAAAAATTAGCTGAGTGTGGTAGTGTACACCTGTAGTCCCAGCTACTTGCATGGCTGAGGCAGAAGGATCACCTGAGCCCAGCAGGTCAAGGCTGCGGTGGCCATTAGCATGCCACTGCACTTCAGCCTGGGTGACAGAGTAAGACTCCTACTAAAAAAAAAACAAAAAACAGGCTTTAGTGCAGATTTTACAATTCTCAGTGATATGGTAACTATGGCAACTATGTATTAAAACATGACCCAGGAGAGCCATGAAAATCGTCTTCAGTCAGAACCTCAATCACAACACACGAGAGTGGGAAGCAGAGATTATCATGGCTTGTTTGCGAGAATAAAACAGAAGATGAACCCAGCGTTGGGCGGCGCTTTTATAAGAGCCCAATGCTGTCCTTCTGCTGCCAGTTTTCACAACCATGAAACGTCAGTAGGATGAGCCACCTCCCATGCCCAGGACGCAACTGTCCCCTATTTACCATGGGTAGAGAAACCACAGGACCAAGATGTTATGGACATAAGACAGGGGCCACGTGGGGTGTGCTTCAAGGGGTGAGGTTTTTGGTTTTTTTCTTTTGAGTTGGAGTCTCAGTTTGTCGCCCAGGCTGGAGTGCAGTGGCACACTCACAGTCACTGCAGCCTCGACCTCGACCTGCTGCGCTTTGGTGATCCTTCTGCCTCAGCCTTCCAAGTAGCTGGAACTACTGATGAGCACCACCACATACGGCTAATTTTTGTGACTTATTGTAGAGATAAGGTTTCACCAAGTTGCCCAGGCTGGTCTCGAACCTCCGGGCTCAGGCCAGGCTGGTCTCAAACCCACGGGCTCAGGCAATCCTCTTGCCTAGGCCTCGCAAAGTACTGAGATCACAGGCTGAGCCACTACGCCTGGCCAAGGGATGAGTTTTTAAAGATCTTTTGGATTCTGCCACTCTTCTTTTTGCAAGTCAGGGTCTCACTGTCGCCCAGGCTGGAGGGCAGCCGTGCATCAAGTCATCATGCCTGGCACCTACCACCCTCACAGGTACTGTACAGATGAGGAGACTGTGCCCGTCGGAACTGACCATCCTGTCTGGTACTGTGTGAAACATTAAAGCTCATGCTCCATCTCCTCTCCAAGATCAGACATAACGGTGAGGCAGGAGCTCCCTGGTGACATGTGGACAAGCCCCTAAAGATAGGGGGCAGGAGAGGCCAGCAGAGACCGGAAGAGCCTTTAGGGAGAGTCTGCAGACTGCTCAGAGGGGGCAAGAGTGAAAGTGCTTTCAGGCTGGTGACGAGAGGCCAGGCAGGTACCATGGGGCTGAGGAGGGGACTGGGAAAGAGACCTTGGTCTTGATAAGATGAACTCGGGCTGGGAGTGCTCCAACTTTGAGATAAGATAATAACAGACAAACAAACCCCCAAACTGAGAAAGATCCAAAAACCAAACAACAAAATCAAACACACACCAGGGAGCTGCTTCCTGGTGGACATCACTTATGCTTAAAATCTCCACTGTCTCCTGCTATGGATGGGCTAGGTGAGCAGCTCTCAGTACTTTCTAAGCTGTCATTTAAGTTGTCTCTCAGAAAGCCTTGTGAGGCCATTGCCTTACTAAGCTATAGTGTGGCCATGTGCACTTTGAGCTATAGCCAGGCCATGTCTTCTTAAGCTTTAGTCCCCTCCCCTACCTTTGGGAGGTGAATCTCCTCTTTTTTCTCTAATTTATTTTCTAAATAAACAATATTTTCTCATCTAAAAAAAAGAAACTCTTGTAATAGGGGGATGCTCTGTGGGCCTTTTCCTTCTCCTTTTATACAACAAAGTCAAGTGTGCTGCTGTTTCTTCTGATTCAGTCAGGTTCTGCAGGAAACAGGCACACGACAGCTATCTCGACTAAGGGGGCATGAGACCGGAGGCCAGTGCCTTGCTCCTGCCTGGGTCCCCTCACTGTGTGTGATCGCAGTACCCGGTCAAATCGCTCTGCACTGAGTTCTCCGGAGACGCTGTGAAACGAGTCAGTATGCACGAAGCCACAGACACACCCGGCATGTTGAAGTCACTGAGGGATGTTGTTGTTAATCCTTAAGCATGTGTCAAGTAGTTGCAGTGCCGTCTAGCTATTCCAGAATAAAGTTAAAAGCTACAGCTCCATAATGGCAAATTTAAAGTTCTTAAAATAGACTTCAAATGGTTGTAATTGACTTAGTTTGGTGACAGTCAATCATTATTACAGCAGAGGTTCACACAGGACAGAACAATCCCAGACACTAAATGCCTAACTGACAGTGGCGTTTTTTGAATTGACCATAATTCCTGCATAGTGTCCTAGTTTTACAAAACCCACTCTAAAGTCTAATGGCACCTGAACCTGTCCACCTTTCTCTAGCCTCAGGGAATCATTCACTTCTTCCCCAGGAACTCCAGTACATCCCCCCCCAGCCTTGTCCTTAAGTGCTCTGCTCCACCTGGCTGACCCTCAGGACTCCTCCCAGGCTGACTTGAAACCCACTTTCTTCTCAGCTTCACCTCATTTTCCCCGACCCCACTCAGCCCCAGCTAGGCCACACACATCTAATAGTACTTCCACAGCGTCCCTCACACGGGCTGGTGACGAGCAGTGTCCCATGCACAGCAGGGCTCCCGCCTCCTGTTCCCAGAGCCAAGCACACGCCATCACTGAACTCAAATGACAGAAACTCTGCCTTTAGAAAAGGATGACTCGGGGGTTACTTTAATCTCAACCTTCCTTAATGCCCTGGAAACACAATCAATAACACTCATGCAATTGCTGTGAAAGATGTCCACCTTTTTACTCCACTTTAAGAGTAGATATTAAATCCAATTTTTCCAGTAAAGCTGAAACAGACTCAACATTGCCACATCACATCCCACCAAGTCTCCTAGCTGCCAGCTTGCTCCGAGGACTAGGGACTTGCCAGGCCCAACAATTGAACAAGCCAACTACTTAAAACAAACCTCTCTTTCTCCAAAAGGAGATAAGTGGTTCTTTTGTTTAAAAGTTTGTTCGTAAGTGCTATTCCTTTCTTAAAGAAATAATTCACTTGGCAATACTTTAATTAGTTGCCACTGACATTGATTATGTTACGGAGTTATGAAGAGGTACTCAATGGTGGGTCAGACTAGGGATTAGAATCTGAAGTTTTAGTTACAGCTCCTGTCTGGACAGGGAACAGCATTTTATTTTCCTATAGTAAATCATCAAAAACATGCTGACAGGTAGGAGGTTTCTTATGGGGTGACAAAAAATTTCTTAATTTAGATTATGACAAAAATATTATTAATTTTGCAATGGTTGCAAAATTCTCTGAATACCTACCCATTAAATTTTAGACTTTAGATTTTATGGTATGCAAATTATAACTTAAAGATGTTTAAAAAAAGGTACACGAGAGACTCGAATGCTCATATTTCTTTCTTCTTTTTTTAAATTTGGAATCTCAACTCTGTCACACAGGCTGGAGTGCAGTGGTAAAATCATGGCTCACCGTATTGCAGCCCCGACCTGCTGGGTTCAGGTGATCCTTCCACTTCACAAGTGTGCCACCATGTCCAGCTGATTTTTAAAAAATTTTTTGGAGTGACAAGGTTTTGCTATGTTCCTAGTCTGGTCTCAAACTCCTGGGTTCCAGTGATCCTCCTGTCTCAGCCTCCCAAAGTGCTGAGATGACAGGCATGAGCCATCATACCAGAGACTGCTCAAGTTTCAATCACTTAAGGTGAAACTAGTTAAGAAAAAAAGCATTAATTTTAATATTTCATTTTTCTTCCGTATTTGAACCAATGTCAATTTGCTTAATCCCTAATTATTGAGGTATTAAATAAGGGAAGTAAATGCAAACTTGATGCAAACCTTATAAATATCTAGAATTACAAGTAAAATTAGGCGATCATCACACACTCTCCAAGGGGATTACTCTTGGGACTTCCTTAAATAAGGGTCATCTGACACAAACACACTGCAAGATAATGGTGATCAATTCACAAGTGACTCTTAGAAAGTCATTTGACATTCAGAGCAAGAGTCACAAACACATTTTCAAAATTCCTCCCACTGGAAGGTAAGGAAGATTTACCTTGTGACAAGGAACCATGCGATTCTGCTGAAATCTGGAGAAGGCCTCAAGTATGTCTTAATGTGTGGCATGGCACTGCTGCGGCCGGAAGTCTCGGCTGACCACTTGCTAGTAACAGGAAAGATATAATTCACACATCACAAAATAAGGCAAATGGGTCATCATCCTAACATTAGGAAACTGCATGGAAAGCAAAATCTTGTAATGTAAAAAACAGCAGGGGTACACAGTGCTGCAACCTGTGATATTTTGTTAAAGTCTGCTCAGGTAACAGAATAACACATACTCACTTTAGAAGGGAAGTATGTAGAGAAAGAACATTTCCCATTACCTGCACAAAGCACTATCATTTTAGCATATAGCCTTCCTGCCCTTTCTGCCACAAATACACACATGTGTATATGTGTGATTTCTATGCTTTTAACACAGGTGCATGTGTCTCCCAGGTGAACAATGTGCTCCTTAAAAGTAGGAATTGTGCTTCCATGATGAATAATGAGAAGAAGCCTGATAAGTCTGTTAAATGAAACAAAATACAAAATGGGCAAAATACAAACAGTACGTGAAAAAATGAATGACAAGAAGCAGGGGTATAAACTGGAAATACTTTAGGCAGATGCTGGCATCATGTATCTAAGTTTCTAATACTAAGATTGAGAGGACAATAATAAAGTATACCATAGACTTAGGTTAAGAGCATGCTATAACCCAATAAATATGTAATCGGCTTGTGGACAATAGCACAGCCATTTTTAGTTTTTAGTTTTCTGTCATAAAACATAACCTGTAATTGTTTAAAGTTCCAGTTAAGGGAAAAACTGCAAAGCTCCAGTTATTCTTCCCTTATCTCACTTTCCCTTTAGCAACAACCAATCAGGTGCCAGGAAGTAATCACCTAAGTTTCCAGATGTCTCTGCAACTTCCCTAGCTAGTGGACCAAGGTCAGCCCGAGTCAGGCTAGCCAATCCTCCACGATTAAGCTGACCACCAGAAGAACTACCCAATTAAATGGTAACAGAACTGGAAAGCCCCCTAAACTCCTTCTCTTTGTGTAAAAGCATAAAAGGCATCTGCTTAAGGAAATCAGAGCCTCTGAATGTACTCCGCTGTATCGGTTGTCGACAGAGGTCCAGGCTCAAGCTTGTAAATAAAGACCCTCTTGAACTTTCATCGGAATTGGCTCTTGGTGGTCCCTCGGATTGAACATTCGGCCACTACATTTGGGGGCTCTCCCGGGATCCCAGAGACCCCAAGACCCCAGTCCGGAGGGTTTTCAGGCCGGCATTCAGTAAGTTGCTCCCTGGTTAGCGCATCTGTGTTCTGTGTCTCAGGTGGAGCTCCACACTTTGTTCTGAGGTCGGCATCAGGCTAGGCGGATGCACTGGAAAGCCGCCGGCCGGGGCTTATGGGAGACGTCTCACGTCCCTATCTGGAAGACGAAGTCTTCATCTGTGGGGAAGGTCAGACTCATAGACGGTCTGTCTCTCCCCTATCGTACTTTCAGATTTGTTTTTGCGGCCGCTACTGTCTGTCTCTTGTCGTGTCTCTTGCCGTTTTCCCTTTTGTCTCGTCGGTTGTGTTTGTTGGGGCGACAGTACTGACAAGTGAGATGGGACAGACACAAATAACGCCATTAAGTCTCATGACTGAAAACTTTTCAGAACTAAAGGAAAGGGCTCACAGTTTGAGTGACGAAATTCACAAGAAGTTCCGGGATTTGTGTGCCACTGAGTGGCCCGGCTTTAATGTAGGCTGGCCACGAGAAGGAACTTTTCTAACAAGTGTTCTTTTGTAGGTCAAGAATGTCATCCTCCAAAGAGGCTCCCAGGGTCACCCAGACCAACTACCTTATATACTGGTCTGGCAAGATATAGTGGAATCCCCTCCCCCTTGGGTGAAACCCTATCTTCCTACCCCGTTAAAGGCATTGAGAATGCTCACGATGCAGGAAAAGGGGGCGGGACCTTTGGAGCCACCGGAGAGTGTGTCATCACAGCCTTGTGAGAAGCAGAATCCCTTCCATAAGCAGGAGAAGAGGGTGGAACCTTTGGAGCCGCCGGAGAGTGTGTCGTCACAGCCTTGAGAGAAGCAGAATCCCTTCCATAAGCAGAAGGGGGCGGAAGCTTTGGAGCCGCGGAGAGTGTGTCGTCACACCCTTGCGAGAAGCAGAATTCCTTCCATAAGCCCCCAAAGAACCCCTTTTACCCCGTTCTCCCTGATTCTAACTTGGAAGAGATGATTTCTCCCCCCCATACCAGTCAGCTCCCCCTAGGCCTTCAGCCCCGCCTGTGCTCCAAGCCGCTGTCGCCGCCGCTGCAGAGGCGGAACCAGGAGTGGCCAGGGAGGGGAGGCAAGGAGGAGAAATGGATGGACCAGCCGCAGCGACTCGAGGGAGAGTCGCCAGGGTGGGTGGTCCTGGAATGGGCCCAGCTGACTCCACGGTAATTTTGCCACTGAGAGTGGCTGGGCCCCCAGATGAGGCCGGGAACCAACCTATGCATTATTGGCCGTTTTCCACTAGCGATTTATACAACTGGAAAACACAAACTGCTACTTTCTCTGAGAATCCTAGAGGGCTGATTAACTTGCTGGAAAGCATTCTCTTTACCCACCAGCCTACCTGGGATGATTGCCAGATGCTTCTATAGGTATTATTCACCACTGAAGAAAAAGAAAGAATCCAGACGGAGGCCCGGAAGCTGGTTCCGGGAGTTGATAGACAGCCCACTACCAATCCTGATATTATCAATGAGACTTTTCCCCTTTCCCGACCTGAATGGGATTTTAACACGGCAGAAGGTAAGGAGAAACTTCAGGTCTACCGCCAGGCTCTGATGGCAGGTCTCTGGGCAGCTGCTCGTAAGCCCACTAATTTGGCTAAGGTATATAACATAAGACAGGACAGGAATGAGAGCCCAGCCGCGTTTTTAGAGCGTATTATGGAAGCCTTCCGTCAATACACCCCAATGAATCCAGAGGCACCAGAAACCAAAGCGGCTGTGATCATGGCGTTCGTTAATCAGGCAGCACCAGATATCAAAAGAAAGCTGCAGAAAGTAGAAAGATTAGGAGAGAAAAGTTTATAGGATCTGCTGGAGGTGGCTGAGAAAGCCTATAACAATAGGGAGAGTCCGGAAGAATGCCAGGATAAACGTAGTGAACGGCAGACCAGGGAATTAGCCAGAATTCTCCTAGCTGCCACCACCCACGACCCCAAGGAAAAACAGAAGCGGCTAAAAAAATTGGCTTCTGAGTCAGACAACAAACCGGGTGACCCCCAGCCGGATCGCCCCAAGATAGTTCGGAGAAATCAGTGCTTCTACTGTAAGGAGGAAGGGCACTACATAAAGAACTGCTCTAAGCACCCTCCCTGACCTGAGGACAAAGTAACTGTACTTGTAACTGAATAGGGGGGAAACCTGTAACTTTTCATGTGGATTCAGGAGCGGAGCGATCTGTATTATTAAAACCACAAGGCCCTCTCTCCGACAAAATCTCATGGGTTCAAGGAGCTAACGAGATAAGACTGGCACACTGGACCACTAAGAGAACAGTGAATTTCAGCACTGGTACAGTCACCCATGAGTTCTTAGTTCTTCCTGATTGCCCATACCCTTTGTTTGGGAGAGATCTGTTGACCAAAGTGGAAGCAAATCTCAGCTTTCGGTCGGATGAGGTGACAGTAACAGATTCAGTTGGGCGCCCCCCGCAGATTCTAACTATAAAATTAGAAGATGAATACAGGCTGTGTCAGGCCCATGACCCGGAGATGGAATTGGACATTCAGGACTGGCTTCAGGAAATTCCCCTATCCTGGGCAGAAACTGGAGGAATAGGGTTGGCTAAACACAGGCCAGTAGTGTTTGTGGAACTAAAGCCCGGAGCGGACCCAGCCAGGGTCTGGCAGTATCCAATCCCTGTGGCAGCACGAAATGGGATAACCCCCCACATACGGCAGCTGCTGGATGAGGGAATATTGTGGCCTTGTCAGTCTGCCTGGAACAAACCCCTGCTGCCAGTACAAAAGCCAAATTCAACTGACTACCGGCCTGTTCAGGACTTACGGGAAGTAAACCGCCGGGTGATGGACATACACCCCACGGTCCCTAACCCCTATACCCTCCTCACTACCCTGGCCCCGGACAAGGTTTGGTACACGGTATTAGATTTAAAAGATACCTTTTTCAGCTTACCGTTGGCCCCACGGAGTCAGGACATCTTCGCCTTCGAGTGGCTGAACCAGGAAAGAGGAATCAGTGGGCAACTCACCTGGACCCAGCTTCCCCAAGGATTTCAAAACTCTCCCACCATCTTCGATGAAGCCTTACATGAAGACCTGGGTGAGTTCTGTAACACACACCCCACCCTAACCCTGTTGCAGTACGTGGATGATATTCTGTTAGCCGCAGAAAATCGGGACGCGTGCTTACAAGGCACCAGAGAATTGCTGCAAACACTAGGTGCTCTGGGTTATCGAGCCTCGGCCAAAAAGGCTCAGATCTGCAAAACTGAAGTTACCTGGGCTACAAACTGAAAGATGGGCAGAGATGGCTATCGGATGCCCGGAAGGAAACGGTACTAAGAATTCCACAACCACAGAATGTACGACAGGTACGTGAGTTCTTAGGATCAGCTGGCTTTTGCCGCCTATGGATTCCTGGGTTTGCTGAGTTCGCCCGGCCATTATATGAGGTCATCAAAAATAAGTCCGACCTCATATGGACGGAGGACATGAACAGATCTTTTGAAACTCTTAAACAAGCCCTGGTGTCAGCCCCAGCTCTGGGACTGCCAGATCTGACTAAACCCTTTTTCTTGTTTGTTGATGAGTCTAAAGGAATAGCCAAAGGAGTGCTGTTGCAGCAAATAGGGCCATGGAAGAGGCCAGTGGCATCCTTGTCAAAAAGTTAGACTCCGTGGCTGCCGGGTGGCCCCCATGCCTACGAATCATCGCGGCAGTTGCCACTATGGTCAAGGACGCTGACAAAATCACCATGGGAAAAGAACTACATGTCACCGCCCCTCATGCTGTGGAGGGAGTTCTAAAACAACCACCCGACAGATGGATAAGTAATGCCCGGCTAACTCATTATCAAAGTCTCCCTTTTTTTTTTGAGTTGGAGTCTCACTCTGTCGCCCAGACTGGAGTGCAGTGGCTGCTCCCGGCCACCGCAACCTCAACCTGCTGGGCTCCGGCGATCCTTCCACTTCAGCCTTCCAAGTAGCCGGAATTACAGGCATGCACTACCACGCCAGGCTGATTTTTTTGATTTATTGTAGAGATGAGGTCTTGCTGCCCAGGCGGGTCTCGAACCCGCGGGCTCAGGCAATCCACTCACCTCAGCCTCCCAAAGGCGCGGGATTCAAAGTCTCCTTTTAAACCCAGTCAAAATCTTGTTTCAGGCTCCGGCTACTCTAAATCCAGCCACCCTGCTACCCAACCCGGATGGGGAAGGCCCCCTGCACGACTGCCAGGACATCCTGGCGCAGGTCCATGGAATACGGGAAGACCTCCGGGACTGGCCCCTAACCAACG